TTTGTTTAATTACAAATTTTAATTCTTTGTTTTATTTTCAATTACAAATCTTATTTCTTTGTTTTATTTTTAAATTTTAATTTATTTTTCTTTATTTGTTTTTATTCTTTGTTTTACAAATTTTATTTCTTTATTTTTTTCAATTTCCGATTTTTGATTTCCAGCTTTCGAATTTCTATATACCAGAAATAAAATCCAAAAATCTATTTAAATAATATAAATTATTATAGTACGAAAATTTCACTCAAAATCATTGTATGTGCACCTGCACAGGTGACGCACAAGTAGTGCATAAACAACACCCCCTCTGCGGCTGAAAATAACAACTAAAACTCTGCTCCGCGACGTACAGTAAGTATATTATCCGATATGCATCTCGGCAGGCGATCATTCTCGACTCGTGATATCCAGATCGAGCTTCGGATTTTAGTATATGTTATACTTAAAAAAGATAAAATATAGGTATTTCTCTTAGAGGACTTTGCTCCCGCACGGTGTATTAAATTAACACTCAAGATAATGTTAGAATTACGTCCTGTCAAAATAATTATTAATTGAATCGCAAAAGTAAAAATAACATGCTGAGAAATTTATTAACCAACTTTATTGATACCAAAATGTTACAAGTATATATGAAGCAGAAAAATCTATGTACCCACTACTTTTCAATGATTTTTTTGATTCTAACCCTCTTACGAGCTGAGGAGGAATTATCTACACTAACTCGGTCCTTCAATAATCCAACGATAACTCCAATTATCCGTTTCACATTATTTCGGAGCACGTCAGGATTTTCTTTAACAGCGGTCTTCGAAAGATTTATTAGGTATTCCTTATTACTTGTACTATATATTCCTTCCGAGGTATATATAATGAAATGCCATTCCTCGGCTAGAAATAAACTCGATGATTAGAAGAAAAAATCACAAGATGAAAAAACCGTCACAAAAGAAATTCTTCACATACCCGTGGATACAATCCCATAGAGGTAGTCGTAATAATTATTTCTGAATGCCTGATTCGCCGTCCGTTTTTTTTTATTCATGTGATAGGCGCTTTCAAGTTGCTTAATATTTTGAAGATAGCCTATCTTAATGTTGCGTTGTTTACCTTCAACAATACACATAAAGCCCTCCTTCCTTGTAATTGCATAGTCAACCCGTCCTGATACTTCTTCACTTGAAACTTCCTCCTGCAATACAATAAAGATTTCTTTATTGGTTGCCCTTCTAGTAATAGTGATTGACGCATGCAATATACAAGAAATAAACCCACAACGTGTGGATTCATTGGCATCGGACATTGTTTTTATGTTCGTTAATATTTCTTCTATGTTCTCCATGCAACGGTTGAGTGCTTTATCATCATCATCGATTTCCTCAAATACTTCAAAAATAATAAGTTATATTTTTTACTTGCCAGGATTTGAAAAAAGATATCTTACTTGGATTAAACTGCTCAATGCTCATAATATCACCATCGTCAACCTTATATTGTCGTAATACCTCTTTCAATTCCACCAACGTTTTATAGGATGAGAAACTTCGTGCTTCAGCACTTACTCTCTTCTCCACAACATTTACATGAGAATCGACGTCGGAAAAATCGGCTTCAGAATAATTAATAGGATTTCTTTTTCTAAGTACTCTCACATTTAAAGGCTGAGTCGAGGTTTCTTCGACATTAATGTTTTCCTTTCCTTTTCCTTTTTTACCAGGCCCCTATAGTTATATACAAAAAGTCAAGTAAGATCCTTATCATCATAAGAAATGTATATATATAACTAATATACAAGAGCTTCACCCACCTTTTTTCGTTCTGCAACTATCTCCTTCCAATAACGTTTCAGCTTAATTACATTTTGTGAACGTTCCAACTTGACCTATTTTGAGAAAGAAGGTCATTGACAGTGTATTGGCTTTTTTATTTAGTGATAAAGAAAGATTCATAATCGATTCCACTTCCAGAATCAATGGGTCTTTACCAACAACAAAGTTAGAGCACCTGAATTGAGGACTTGAAGTGGTTACCAAGTTTGTCAAAATCAGTAATTCTCCTTAGTAAGGCCGTGGTCCAACTAAGGCGGATTACTAAAGTTTGTCAAAATCAGTAATTCTCCTTAGTAAGGCCGTGGTCCAACTAAGGAGTTACCCTTCCTTTGCAAAATAAAAAACACACCTTTTTCTTTAAATCCATGAAGGTACTTTGATCTAATAGCCTTTTTGCTTCACATAAGAATCGAGAGGCCCAAGAATCATCAAGATCCTTCCAGTTATCCGAAGATGACCAAGCAACAATGTCATCGTGGTGGAAGGCTAAGAAATCGATATATGACCAATTTTCTTTTTCTCTCAAGAACGAGATAAGGACTAGTCGAAGGTTAAAACATATTAAGAACTTCCTCTTGGTGAGAGTACAACTGGAAGATTGCAAAGCTAAACATGACTTACCGTCTTGGCCAAGATAGTTCATGGTTTTTAGAAAATTTTTGAAAGATTTAAGACCAAAGAGTAGACATCGTATATATACAAAGTTATAGGAAAAAAAAATAAGTAGTACGCGAAATAAATGGTAAAAAATAAACACAGACGCGATTAGATGTAAATCAATCAAAACCTTAGACGTGATTTTAACATGGTTCTTCAATATCTTTAATACCAAATGGTCATATTCTATTTGACTTTATTAATTATAGCATAAATAAGGGCCGAACTCTTCTTTGAACACGCAAGACATAGTGGCAAATAAACAACAACTAGATTCGCGAAGACGTAAAATGTGTAACCGCGTTGTTATTTTGGGGTTAATCACGTGACATAAATATTAACCAAATCAGCATGACATAATGACATAACTTTTCGCTATGCATTATTATTACAGTATAAACAAGGTGATAAGAAGAGAGACCGACTATCTCCATTAGCGCACATATTAAAGGATTTATGTCTTAGGAAGTCGAAATCTCTACAATCTCCGTATGCCTAACATCTATTAATCTATTTACATAAAAAGTCATTGACAACCTAAAAATTTTTCTGTGCATTAGCCGGAGATTATAAACGCATCGCATAAACACGCTACATACTAGGACGAATCTACGATTCATATAAAGAATGTCAACAGTTTCTACATCCTCTACTTTGACACGACGGGAGATGTTATTAAGGATTTTAATACGGAGGAACTAATCGAATACCTGCGGAAGAACCTGAAACACATATTAGGGCAGATTTCAAAATATTTCGAAATGAGCGAATTGGCTTTTTTTTAATTGGGTTCAAAGATGGGATCCGCTATTAAATTAGCATAATTCGTCGAGGATCTCGATCAAAAATTAAGAAGCTTCTCGTCTTACAAAATGCTAGAAGAACTAAAAGACGTGCTCCGCAAATATAAGATTAATGGGGAGAATATAGTGAGCATAAAAAAATTTAACCCAGGTATGTGATATTTCGATAGGCTATTTTTTCTTGGCATTTTCTGGGACTACGCGGTCTCACAAATTTCTTGGCAAAACCCACGATCAGAAAAATTTCCAGATATATAATAATTCCTTTTTTCTGTTTATAGATTCAGTAAAAATCGATGATAACGATGATGCATTTAAGCACTATGTGGCAGACATAATGTTAATACTAACGAATATTCAAATGATAACTGGAGCCAACGAAGCAACTCGCCGTGAATTTATTTCATCCATCCTACATGCGTCACTTTCCATCGTTCGAAGAATCACCAAAGAAGAAAAAATTTATATTCACTGAGAAGGATTTATCATGCGATTTGCCGAAGGTAAACCACGCAATATTAAGATCGGTTATCTTCAGAATATCATTCAACTAGAGAGCGCATACCATACGAATAAGAAAAAACGGACGGCTAAACAAGCTTTTGGGAATGATAAATACGATTATCTTTATGGAATAGTGTGAGGGATTTTTCTATAATGTTATGCGAAAAAGTTTATCAGAGCCTTTAGTTATATCTAACATTATTCTAGGTATGGATTGACATTTTATTGTCTTTACTACCGATGAGCTTTATTGCACAAGCGAAAATGAATATCAGATTAATTTCTCGAAAACAGCAATCAAAGAAAACCTTGATATACTTTGAAATAACATAAAGCGGATAATAGAAATCATCGTTGGCCTATTAAAAGATCGGATAACAGTTGATAATTCCCCAGCCAGCAAGAGGGCAAGGATCAAGATCTTTAGAACATAATTTTCTAACAACCATGAACTGTCTTGGCCAAGATGGTAAGTCATGTTTAGCTTTGTACTCTCACCAAGAGGAAATTTCTTTTCAGTTTTTTTAATGTTTTAACCTTTGACTAGTCCCTTATCTCCTTGAAAGAAAGAGAAGATTGGTCATATCTCGATTTTTTAACCTCCCACCATGATGACATTGTTGCTTGGTTATCTTCGGATAACTGGAAGGATCTTGATGGTTCTTGGGCTACTCGGTTCTTATGTGAAGCAAAAAGGCTATTATATCAAAGAACCTTTATTGATTAAAAGAAAAAGGTGCGTTTTTTTTATTTTATAAAGGAAGGGTAACTCCTAGTTAGACCATGGCCTTACTCGGGAGAATTACTGGTTTTGACAACCATAGTAACCACTCCAAGTCTTCAATTCAGGTGCTCTAAATTTGTTGTTGGTAAAGACCCATTGATTCTGGAGGAGGAACTGGTTCTGAATCTTTCTTTATCAATAAATAAAAAGTCAATGTACTTTTAACGACCTTCCTTCTTACAATAAGTCAAGTTGGAACATTCGCGAATGTAGGTTGATACATTATTTGAAGGAGATAGTTGCAGAACGAAAAAGGGTGAGCGAAACTCTTGTATATTTGTTATATACAGTATGTACATTTCTTATTATGATAAGGATCTTACTTAACTTTTTGAATACAACTATAGGGGCCTGGTAAAAAAAGGAAAACATTAATGCCGTAGAAACCTCGACTCAGCCTTTAAATGGGAGAGTACTTGGAAAAAGAAAGCCGATTTCTCCGATGTTGATTCTCATGTAGATGATGTGGAGAAAAGATTAAGTGCTGAAGCACGAGTTTCTCATCCTATAAAACGTTAGTGGAATTGAAAGAGGTACTACGGCAATATAAGGTTAGCTATTGAGATATTATAAACATTGAGCAGTTCAATCCAAGTAAGACATCTTTTTCAAATTCTGGCAATAAAAAATATAACTTATTATTTTTGAAGTATTTGAGGAAATCGATGATGATGATAAAGCACTCAACCGTTACATGGAAAAGTTTCAAGTAATATTAAAGAACAGAATAAAATAATGTCCGATGCCAATGAATACACACGTTGTGGATTTATTTCTTGGATATTGCATGCGTCAATTACTATTTCTATGAGGGTAACCAATAAAGAAATATTTATAAAATTATACTGCTGGAGGATGTTTCAGGTGAAGAAGTATCGGGACGGGTTGACTATAAAATTACAAGGAAGCAGGGTTTCATGTGTATTGTTGAAGGTAATAACGCAATACTAAAATAGGATATTAAGCAACTCGAAAGCGCCTATCACACGAACAAAAATAAATGGACGGCGGATTAGATATTCGGAAATAATTATTATGACTACCTCTATGGTATTGTATCCACGGGTCTGTGAAGAATTTCCTTTGTGACGGTTTTTTCATCTTGTGATTTTCTCTTGCTAATCATCGAGTTGATTTCTAGCCGATGAATGGCATTTAATTAGATATACCTCGGAAGGAATATATAGTACAAGTAATTATGAATACCTAATAAATCTCTCGAAGACGGCTGTCAAAGAAAATCCTAACGTGCTCCGAAATAATTTGAAACGGAGAATTGGAATTACCGTTAGATTATTGAAGGATCGGGTTAGTGTAGATAATTCCTCAACTCGTAAGAGGGTTAGAATAAAAAAAAAATCATCAAAACGTAGCGGGTACATAGATTTTTTTGTTTCATACTGTCAACTCTCAATAAAAGAAAGAGTGATTATTACTGTAATTGGTTGTATTAATAATTTTGACGTTAATGCATCAATTTCGATATTCTTGACAAAAATGTTGGTCATTCTATATTAATGATTTACTGGATATTTTATTGGAATTAAATTACATGTTCTAAATGGGTTGGTACATAGCAAAACCATGCTTTGAAAGGTTTTAACAAAATTGAGATTTTTAGTGGATTATACTCCCAAGAACGTCCTTTATCTGTGATAAAAGTTTAGATATATATTAATATATTATAATTTGGTACAATCTCGCGCGAGTTTTTTAATTTTATATGGTTCGATATATAAATTAGATTGATAATCGTCGATATCTCCAAATAAAGATTTTGTCTTAAAGCATGGTTTTGCTGTGTACTAACCCAAATAATATATTTTTTTACTTTTTAGCCGGAAAGCGTATTTTCATTAATATTTGTTATTAAATTTATAAAAGTTGTTTTAATTGATATGTGTTATATTTTTACCTTAATTACAACTACAGATGAGAAGCATATTTTTTTTTAAATAAATTCTTATTAAACATGTTTTAATTGATCTGTATTACATTTTTTATGATTACAAACTTAAGTTATATTTTTAATGTTTGTTAAGCAAACTTGTTTTTTTATTTTTTTTTTTTAGAGGCAAAGCATGTTACATGTGAACTTTTTATTAACTTAACATTTGAAGTTACAATTGTTACATGAAGAGTCTGACTAACTGTTCTAGTTATCCTAACCCTAGTACCACCTCTACTTCTAACCTAATTACCAACTTACACCTCGGAGGTGGGTTTGTTTGTTAAGCAAACTTATTATAGGAATTCTAAATAATATAATTTGTATTTTTTACCTTTAGCAAATAAACATATTTTTATATTTTTGTTACATTAATTAATATTGTTGGCATTAAGTTAACAAGTCTGTTACTAGCATCAGATTTAACTTATATAAAATCAAGATAAATTGATATCTCTTTCTATTTAAAGCATGAATTTGATTAAAGATTCTAATGATTCTCTTCGATTCTGTATTTGATTATCAAGTTTATATAAAATTTAATAAGTGGGATATACTTCATCATCATTTTTAATAGTGTTCCGAACCTTATACAATTTCTTGCAATTCTGTTTGATCCCAATTTTCAGAACCATAGATTTGACTATATATGTAATAAAATTATATTTTTAATTTCTGAATTAATATTATTTTTAATAATAATATGATATCTATATTTTAATTAAATAAGAAATTGTAATTAATAACCACCATTCCATATATTATTCAAGAAGAATAATCATGAAACTGTCTTTTTGTTTTATTCAACTTTCAAATTTTTGTAACAAAAAACCATAAGCAACTTACTCTCGTCAAAAAATCAGTATAAGTTAATTATGCTATATTGATATCTAGGTCACCAATATAGACAAAATTGTCAATCCTTAATCATATTCTCTTTGATTATATGATTATATGAATCCAGGCCACAATTAAAAACCCAAGCACTATACCATTTCTTAATATTATCACTTATAGAGCACATATGCAGGATTTACAATATAACTAGTAGCTAGTTATTTTTTATCTTTTTTTTTCTTTTCCTCCACTTGAATTTTCAAAGGTTCATATATGTCAACTTTATTTAAAATCAATAGCAAAATAAACAGGATAATATATATCAATTAATAATACTCTGAATACATATTAATAATAATTTCCTTTATACTCTTTCTACTGATCCTTTTGCCAATCCAAAAAACAGACATTCTCAAAAAACTTTTTGTTTTTATGATAATAAAGTCTATACACTT